AAAAAAAAAAATAAATAAAATTATAAAAAACAAAAACAAAACAAAACAAAACTCAGCCCAGAGATTGCTGAGTCCTCTGAGCTGAGTTACATGCTTTTCCTGTGAGCTGCCTCCTGGAAACCCTTCCAAGGGGCAATGGTCATACTGTATTGTAATTCTTTCTCTTCTTACTAGATTGTGAGTTTCTTGATGTAGGAGGCCATCCCTGATCTCTTTCTATCCTCAGCATAGTAGGTGAAAGTGCTCTGGGGGTTCAGAGAAAGGTGGAAAAGCTCTTCTGACTGGGGAATGAACACTGGGAAAGGCTTGTGGAAAGGCAGCATTCAAGACGGGTCTTGAAGGCCTGGCTCATCAGGGAGAGATTCAGAGGAAGCATGAGAAGCAGAGGAGTACAGGGGCTGTTTTGATAACAACCAGATAAATAGTTTTCTGAAACATGGATGTCTTAGGGCGTGTAATTGGGCTTCCTTTCCCTTTGTTTTAGTGTGGCTTTTTTAAAAGAAAATACCAACAACTGAACTTGGACAGCATCAAGAAGGCCCAGCTGGAATCAGAGAATCTGCTCACAGAACATTAGGACCAGCTATCTCATCCACTGGGAGAGAGTATCAGCCAGTCCTCGATCTAGAGACTTGGTGTGGTACTGATTACTTTTTCCTTTAGGATCACCTAGAGCAGAATCTAACAAAGTGTTTGCAGAATATTGTTTTTTAACCTTACATACATTGTTCCAAAAGTGTCTGTGCATTGTGCAAAAAATAAACTTGGGTAGCTTTTGGCGTTAAACGGTTTTCTTTGCAGAAGTGCCTTTAATGTGCAAATATAATATACTTTTTGATATATTTTTTCCCTAAGAGGAGGTTACACAGCACTTCCCAACCTTATTTGCCTAAGAATGCCTTTTTCTTAGCATTGCTATTAACGTCTCCCAAAATAGTGTTCCATGAAGTACATCTTGTTTGAAAGTGATTCCTAGTCTGCATTTTCAAGATCCTAAGATGTTGCCTGTTATTTCAAATCAGGCCACAAAAAAGTACCTGCAGAGCAAATGTAAAAAGCAGAAAAACAAAGGTCACCAAAACAGAAACTAGAGAGGAGAGAAGACCAGGACTTTGTTCTGTAGTTTCATTTCTGTTCCATGTATGCACATGTCTATTTAATATACAATGCTGGTCTTCACTTGGCTTCCTGCTTGGTGAATTGCTCAGGGAGACTTTTGTTCCTTGGTAAATACTGTCACCAGGAGAGAGCACTCATCCACAGGAGGAGATGGAACCTGGCCTGGGAGTTGGGGGAACAAAGATCAGGGCCTAGTAATAGGCTGGTTTCGCTCTTAGTATCTTATTTTATTTTTATGCCCAGTGCTGTTAAAACTGGACTACATCTCCCCACTCCCAACCCTACAAGGGAACAATCTTTGTTTTCACGGATTATAAAAGTCATTGCAAAAAGTTAAACAGTGCAGAAGTATATAACGTAGAAAGTAATCCTTGTGATCCCTCAGTCTTTATCTAATTTGGATGCTTTCATTACTGTTTCCTTTGAATTTTAATTTTTTCTGAAATTTGTATGTGTGTAAGATGTGAATTAGGGGATTTCACCCGAGTTGTTTTTTCCAGCAGCATACCTAGTTTTCACGGCAGTACTTGTTGAAATACTTAACCACTTCCTCCACTTGTTCTTGCTCTCCTGTATTACAGGGGCTGGAAGGCTTTAAACATTTCCCAGTCTCCCTTGCAGTGGGCTTCGAGTTTAGGTTTTGCCAGTGAGAGGCACTTGCATGAAACCTGAAGGTGGACAGATAGGAGAAGGCTCTCTTCTGCTGGCAGTGCTGGTGGCAGAGATGAGTACAGGCCCCTGAGCAGCAGAGTGACAGTGTGGGCTCCAGCAGTGGTGGCAGCCTCCTGCAACTCCTGACCTCTGGGTGACCCCAACTCTCCTGTTTTTATTATCCAGCCCTTTGAGCAAATTTGAAACTTAACTCTGTATTAAATCCGTTTCTGCTCGAAATACCTAGAGTGGTTTCTCTTTTCTTGACGACCTTGAGTCTAACTATATTATTTCCAAATGAACAACAGTTGTCTCTCTATCATTTATTGAAATGCTCATTGATATTTTGAAATTCTACTGTTAGCATTTATGAAATTCATGTATATGTGTGTGTGTGTATATATATATATATATAAATTCTGGAAGTTGAGTTTTGTTTCACTGATCTATTTGTTCCTTCCCAGTACCACAGTTGAAGGAACACTTTTTATTTTTAGCCTTATGCAAAGGCTATGATAAATTCAGCACAGAGGTATCTGAAAAATGAAAAGTACATCTCTCTGTCCTCTCCGACCTCTAATCTCTCTCTCTGAAAGCAACCACTGTTAATAGTTTTTCATATGTTCTTTCGGAATGTCCCTATGCATGTACCAGTGTAAACTTCTTTATATGTGGATCAGATTGTGTGTGGTCCTGCTCCTTGCTTTTTCATCTAATAGACTTCAGATGTCTTTCCGTGCAACACGTGTAGATCTACCCCATTTTTTTTTAACAGCTCTATAGTATACTATGTTATATTTATTTAACAAGTCCCTACAGATGGATATTTAGGTGGTTTCCATTTCTTTTCTTTTTTTGTTACAAAAAGAACATCTTTAAACACGTCTCCTTCCTGGCATGCTTTTCAGGTATATTGATGGGTAAGTTTCTAGCACAATTACTGGCTCACAGGTTATGTGCACTTAAAATTTTAATAGATGATGGCAACTTGACCTCCAAAAAGTTTTTACCGGTTTACACTCCCACTTAGAATATATGGAAGTGCCACTGTATTCCCCCTGCCACCACTGGGCATCGTCAGATTTTAAATATTTTGCTTACCTGATCGGTGTGAAAAATGGTATCCCGTTTTGGATACCAGTTTTGGTTGTAACTTGGCAGTAAATTTTGATATCTGATAGGTCATTTTCATTCTTATTAAAAAATATATTTATTGTATTCTTTCAGATAGTTCTTAGTATCAGTTTTTCAAATTCCCAAAAGAAACCCTTTGGGGTTTTAATTTAAACGTACAGATTAAGTTGGGGAGAATTGTTTTCTTTACAGAAAGAAATATGACATTTCCTACTCAGAAATATGACCTTCTCCACTTGCTGAGATTTTTAAAAACACCCTGCAGCAAGAGTTTATAATTTTCTTCAGAGGTCTTGATTTACGAAGACTTTTATTTTCAGCTGTATCATATTTATTACTGCTACTGTGAAAAATATATTTTCTCACCCTGACTGATTATAGAGTTTTTATTTAGAACAATTAGTTGTTTTGAATATTTGGCCATCTTATTGAACTCTGTTTTTTAATAAACTTTCATTTGATTCTTAGATTTTCTTTTTTTTTTTTTTGTGAGGAAGATTGGCCCTGAGCTAACATCCGATGCCAAACCTCCTCTTTTTTGCTGAGGAAGATTGGCCCTGGGCTAACATCTGTGCCCATCTTCCTCTACTTATATGGGATGCTGCGACAGCCTGGCTTGACGAGCAGTGTGTCACGCCCGAGATCCAAACCTGCGAACCCCCGGCTGCCGAAGCAGAGCACGTGCACTTAACCGCTGCGCCACCTGGCCAGCCCCTGATTCTCTTAGATTTTCTAAGGAGACAATCCTATCTGCAAATAGTGGTAATTTGGAGTCTTTCTGATATTTATACCTTTTTTCACCCTTATTTCTTTGACTAGGACTGGTAGAGCTCTGAGAAGTTACTGCTGTGCCTGATATTAATGGGATTGCTTTGTGTCCCCCTTTGCCTGCTGCACAGCCTGCCCGTGGTCTCATCCTGCCCCTTTGCATTTGGGCAGTTTCTGGGGCTTGGCTGGAGAGCCCGTCCACTTCTCAGAGTCCCTCATTTTGCCTGTGTTAAATCACCAGGCTGTTTGGCATGATCCACTCTTCTCTTGATCTGATTCCATCTCCTTCATTTCTCTCAGGAATTCCTTTGTACTTTTGGTTCCTTTATTACACCGTTCTCTCTTTCCAGTGCTGCCACAGGCTTTTCCCCCCTTTCTATTTCTTGGGTTGTTTCAGTGGGATTTGCTCTTGAAGGAAAAGAAAGAGGTAAGTTTGCTTAGGTATTTCCCTGCTGTTGGGCTCAAGATTTGTGTCCAGGTTTTCTGTTACAGGTGACTTGTAGCACCTGCTTTATGCTTTTTTTATTGCAGATAAGACCCCACTCCCATTGTAACAGTCAAGACTTATATTGACCACCTGTGAGCTGCTGACTGCACTGTGCTGATCTGACTGGAGTTAGACCAGTGCAGTTGTAGTCAGGAGACTATGTAAGGGAGCAGTCTGAGGAGGAAGACTTTTAACGGCGACACAGTTGGATTTTACAAATTCACGTGCCATGGCTTGGGCCAAG